TACAAGTAGACATCCTGTACACATGTAATACTGTGTGTGTGTGTGTGTGTGTGTGTGTGTGTGTGTGTAGCACCCTCAGATCCAGAAGAAGTCTCAGTACATTAAGTACCTCTGCTGTGACGACGTCAGGACGCTCCAACAGTGGATCAACAGTATCCGAATCGCCAAGGTAACAACATTTCTCCTGTCATAGAAAATGAAACTCTCCCTTTTATTCCAGTCTCTGTGATGCACTCTGTTTAATCTGCTAAACCTGCACTACTATTGAAACCTTGACATTTTCAACTGCTGCAATGCAAACCATGTGTTTATTGTTATGTTAATGTTGTGTGTGTGTGTCAGTACGGGAAGCAGCTGTACATTAACTTCCAGGAGGCGATGAGGAGGACGGAGGCGGCCTACGATTGGTCCTCCCTCTCCTCCTCCTCCATCAAATCAGGATCCAGCTCCTCCAGTCTTCCAGGTCTGTTCCACATCATTATCAGTCTAATATTCCCTCTTCATGCCTCAGCACCAGGCTTTATGTTTTCGGCTTGTCTGTCCTTCTGTCCCATTTTCCAGAATGCTATTTTTAAGGAAAACGTTGAGGGATTTCTTTCAAAAATTCTCACGAGCATCCACATCCAGAATGTGGTGTTCAGAGCTCAAAGTCACTGGGGCCTTTTTAGCCATCGCTCAACAGTTATTTGATTATTTGGGCAATTTCACACAGTTGACTTTTGGGATAAAAAGTAATGACATTTTGAACAGACTTGGATTTAAAATTTGGCTGTTTTGCGAACAATTTTGCATACGTTTACTTAAAGAGTCATACTATAATTGGAATTTTCCCGACTTTTTCTTGGCAATACAATGTTCAACTTGTTTATTATATTCCATATTTTGATTTTTTTACTATGACTATCATTTGTTACGACTTGTTCTAATGCGCTATTTCTATGTGTTTTTGTGAAAATTCAGTTGTAAACTAAATTCTGCAAAAATGTTCCACACCATTTCTCAACATTAACTTTATCCTTGTATAAATAAACCACAATAAGCATCAACAACTTAAACAAAAACGTACTTTCCCCGTGTGTCCACTCAGAGTCCCAGTCCAACCACTCCAGCCAATCAGACAGCGGCGTTTCAGAGATGACATCATCCGGTCACGCCCGCTCTCAGAGTGCCGTGAGCTCGATATTCTCCGACGCCTGGAGGAGAGGAACGCAGGGAGAGGTGTGAACACACACACACACACACACACACACACACACACACACACACACACACACACACACACACACACACACACTGCCCTGTCCTCTGTCATTGTCCTGTTTACTTGTGGACTACATTTCCCATCTCTGCTTCCCTGCCAGCGATCAAAGGTGAAGGGACGAATGGCGGTTCCTCTTTGTGCAGGAGGAGGAGGGAGCGGAGGTTAGACAGGAAGTGATGTCACAGGCATGTTAACAGTTTGGCTGCAGCCTTTAAAACACTCACATGTTTGTGATGATGTTTCAGTGTGATCTGGATCTGTGTTATTATTGATCAGAAGGTATAATGACTTTGAGCTTGTGGAGAGTGTTGTGGCATGAGGAGATGTGGCTTAGCTAGCTCCGGAGAGACTCTCATCTATGAGAAGATGCACACTTCCTCCTGGACAAGGGGTGTGGTTAGGTTCATGAAAATAGTTCCTACGTGAAACTGCTCACAACAAGATCTGTGAAGAAACCGTCTGAAGAGTAAAACACCCCACAAGTAGTATTAACAAGCTGCTTGAAACGTACCTGTTTCTCTGAAGTTGCTTATTACTCTGTGTTTACAACTACTGAGTGTGTACATTGGATTAGAAAGGATTAGGATTCACGGTTGTTTTCATCAGAGAAAGGAAATCTACAATCAGGTTTTTGTAACCGTGCCCGTCCCTGTTTTGAAATGGCTGCAGCTGAACTGTTGATTTGTTCTAACTTTGTGGTGTGAAGGAATGACCTAACATACACATTATATAACACAAATACACTGTTTGGGCTTCAAACAGTTTAACACATTGGTTCACAAATGTTGTACATTTTAAGATACAGTTTGCAACCAGGTGTACACAGACGCCTTCAAGCTTCATATTTAGTCCGTTTATTACCGACACTGAAGAAACAGACTGAGAAGTAGCCATGACAACACCTCTGTATTGTCTGCACTGGTAATCATTCAGATTGACACCTATCCTGAACCACAAGCTAATGGCTAATGATATCAGCAGATGCAGTTTAGACGATGTTTGACAACATTTCAAAAACAGACAATGATTTGAATAAGAAAATGGACTGATAGATAGACTGACCTCAGACTGTAACTCCTTCAGATTGCCCATGGTGGTGCAGGAACAGTTGACAGAGCTCTAATACATGTATACAGTCCATCCCTTGGCTTAGGTCAGTGATCTTCAACCAGCATGCTGTGTCATGAGAGTTTCTCAGGTGTGCCGTGGGAAATTGTCTAATTTGACTTAATTGGTAGAAAAATATATGATTGAGTTAGTTTAGTTTGCCATTGTTGAGCGTCTCAGCCTGCAATGTTGTGACTGGCTAAGTTCTCCAATACTACTCGGGAGAGGTTGCGTTGACAAGATAAACAGCGATGGATAAATACTCAAGAAGACTCTGAACTGGGTCCTGGACACAAGTCTAACCCAGATGTAGAACCTAATATGAGCGGTGGTCAAATGAAAGTAAAAGCGTTGAGCTCGAAGCAGCAAAAGTTGTCTTTGGTTTGAATGGTTCTGCTTGGCGTGTGGGGAAAAGCTATCCAACAGTGCCATTACATTACAGTACATGTCACTTGTTAGACTCTTTTATCCAAAGCGACTTACATACTCAGTACTGTGGGCAATCCCCACAGGAGCAATTTGGGGTGAAGTGTCTCAGGGACACAACGACATGCTGACTGCAGTGGGGTTTGAACCTGATCCGAACACCAATGCAAAACCCACTGCACCACACGCCTGCCATGGTCCCATCTAGCTTAAACTACACATAGACTGTGTATATAAAGCTCCTAACACCAGTCACTTCCAAACAGCTATATCAGGCTCCAATGGGTCATTTTGAACATGTTTGGTTGTTGAAAAACATTGCGTTAGGAGTCAAGGGGTTAGGGTTAGGACCTAGGGTTAGGTTAGGTTAGGACCTAGGGTTAGGTTAGGTGTAGGACAGCAGACACGATGCTGAGTTTCAATGTGTGTGTTCTCACACTGCACTGTTTGCTGTTTGGTTCCTGCATCTTGTCTTGGATTGTCTTCATGATAATGCTACACTTGTCTTTTACTTATTGTAATTGTGTTTCTCTTCCTCCCTTCCATCTTCTCTCCCTCTCTTGCTTCCTTCTCTTCCTCTCTTGTTTCCCCCCCCCCTTCCATCTTCTCTCCCTCTCCTCTTTCCTCCCCTCTCTTCCTCCCCTCTCCAGATGATGAGGATCGACCCCATCAGTAGGCCCATCCCGGTGCAGATCCTCTCCCCTCAGCCCCCTCCCTCCCGCTCCAGCTACACAGAAGGCCTCGTCCAATCAGAGGACTCCCCTCTGTCTCCCCCCTCTCCTCCTCCCCCTCCCATCGCCGGTGTGGACCATCAGACGTCATCCTCCACCCCTTCCTACGTCAAATACAGCACCTTGGCCCGCCTCCAGAGCCAGAACCAATCAGCGAAGCCCAATTACAACACCCTCCCCGCCGTGTACAGCTCCTCCTCCCTCCTCCTCCCGTGTCCCCCCCCTC